AAGGCCCAATTTCCTTCAGCAGTGTACTAACCCTTATGAGCTTTGCAGCTGGGTGTGTGACCCTTGAATATCAATCTCATTTCATAATTGGTTGCATGATATCACTTAATTATGCAGTCTGGTCAAACAAAAAACACAAACCCTCAATTTTTCTGTACTTTTTTGGCATATAGATTTATACCACCATTTAGTCTTTTTTAGAGTTCTTTGAAATTAATATTTGGGACAGATAGTCTAGATCTCAACCTGGCTCTGTTCCATATTGGGAACATTCTCCTCTTGCTGTACCAGACAAAACAGCAAAATAACAGCTGCTAGGAATCCAGACTTGCTGGCTCAGTGCCAACAGAAAGGAAAGAAGCAAAAACCATTGTGTTCATGGTGATCATGTGCAAGTGTTTCAGGACCATTGCAGTGATCCTTAATTCTGTGGGAGTCATCAGTGTTGTACCCCCTCAAAGCTGCATTCTTTGGCTTTTCGTGTAAATACAGCTTCCCAATTCCAGTTGGAAATACTTAACATAAACGTTGAATTATAGTCCATATTCATGTTTTGCAGGTTACATATGTTAATTTGTTTTGTTAATTTGTAAAATTTATTAGTAAACCCCCGAATCAATACTTACGGTGCTTTCATGGGCATGTACATGTGCAGACGAATTTGTCATCTGACATGTATGGGCTCAGATGAAGTGAGACAAGGTGACAGTCTTGTCTCAGCTCTCATGCTGCAAACAAGTGCCCTTTTCATTATATATTTAGTGTGTTTTTAGCATTTTTCTGCTTTTTCTTCGTGATTTTGCTGTTAAAATGATCCAAGAATACGGCTGGGTAGTGCTTGTTCCTAAGTACAAGAAGACTCTGATGTGCCTTACAGAGAAAATATGTTAGGTAAGATTTGTTCAGGCCATGTACTACAGTGCTGTTGGCTATGAGTTTAAAGTTGGTGAACCAACAACAGATATTAAAGTATCTTAAAACAAGGCTATGTATTGATCAGTTGATGAAAATAATGTGACCAGAGGTTCACGGGAACCTAATCCTATCCTTCCCCCAGATGCAATGATACAGTATTTGTTAATTCAGTGATTTTATAGAAATAACTACTAGTAACAAGAATCAACCAGGCGCCTGGGTGGCTCAGTCGTTAAGTGTCTGCCTTCGGCTCAGGTCATGGTCCCAGGGTCCTGGGATCGAGCCC